GGCAGTCTTCCTCTGCACAAATCTTGCTAAGAAAACACTGTGATAGATTGAGCTTAGAGTCATCCTAGGTTGAAGACATGCACCTACAAAAAGGTGGTATCAAAGTGAAATGGGATACAGAATTTGTTTATATATTTTGTCTATTTTATGCATTGCGAAAGCAAAAGTTAGCACCTTTGGCATATAGGGTATCCATCTATACTTCTTTGATTTTTACCAACCAGTTTATAGTATTTTTAAATGCAGTAGAGTCTCGCTTATCCAACATAAACAGGCCATCAGGACGTCTGATAAATGAAAATGTTGGATAATATGAAGGCTTCTGGGAGTTGAAGTACATATCTCTATCCTGGCAGACATCAATGGTGAGTGAGTTCGCCTTCTGTTTAGTTTTCCAGACAAAAGGAGGGAACTCACTCACTACTGATGAAAAAAAGAGCAACAAACAAGGAATTATAATGAAAAGGTAGATAGCACACTTACACGAATCCTCAAGACAACTGCCCACCTTCATTCGTTTCTCTTCCCATATTTCCTACAAACTCACTCGTAGCCACAGCGTCTCCTTCCAACTTGGACTGGACCATTGCTGTGTGTGTAGAGGCGGAAGGAGAGGCTGAACCATTATGCTCTGGCTCCTGATTTGGAGTCCGCACAATGGTACTGGCCAAAATGGGAAAGAAAGAAGGAAACTAAAAACATGCCTTTAAAGGGGAAATGCTGAAGGAAAAGCGGGGTGGGGACATTGGATAAGAGTGTCGGATAACACTGAAGGTTGGATAAGCGAGACTCTACTGTATTTCTTCTATTGTAAAATCCATACTTATTTCAGTACTGCCAAAAAAAAGGTTTATATGAAAAGCACCTGTGATTTACAGTGCATCCTGTTTTAAGGGAAGTATATCTTCAATCAAAGAAATTGGGTAATTATCTCATTTGCCCTTGTTTCTTATGCTTCATATACCTGCTTTTCTCATTTGTAATGTAGAAAGATGTATCCCATACATGTTGATGCCTTTGTCCTTACCGGACAATAAAAATAGCATAACTTTGTGGAAGGGTAAATTCATGAGCTTTAAATGTACCTAGTTAATTTACAATTCAATGTATATAAGGATGATGATTGATTACACGAAGTTGTAGGGAGCAGCAGAAACATGGACATTATATTTTCATACCACTTTAACCCTTACCATTAAAGGGCAATCAATATAAAATGTTTATTGTTAAGCCTCAGTGTGTCTTTGGGGAAGTAACATTCTGCAGTTCCAAGAATAGAATAATAATAACTTTTTAATCTTAATCTATATCTTGTTGATGAGGTTAATATTAGGTTTTTTAAAATCTTAGAGGTTGTCAGATGAATGATCACCCCATCCCTAAAACTGTCATCTATTTTGGGCCCCAGTCTGATAGTTTGCAGGTCATATTTGACACTTTGAAAGGGAACAAGAAGACACTAGCTTAGCAAGGTAATTCTGCTTCTCAATGCTCACCGTGGCTAAAGTCATTACTAAAGATAGATCCATGGGGTACAGTTACAAAAGCATGGATGATATTTAGCAATGGGGAGAGTTGAAGTGGAAAGTTCTGAAGATTACATATATTGTCTGTCCTGCAATGAGCCTAAAGAACTGAACAAATTTCATCTTTCAGTTACAAATTTCATCTTTCAGTTACAAGAACTGAACAAATTTCATCTTTCAGTTCAGTTTCATGTTTGTAAATGGTCAATGAGTTTGATTGGTTAGTTGATCCTACACATCACTACTATATTCATTAAGCTGACAGGTTTTGATATGACTGTAGTGATTCCCATAACTGACTCATCAGTGTAACTAAAATCTCTATAGAGAGCTCCTCATTACTGCTATTTGTATAGAACCAAAGCATTTAGAAAAGTCAGAAATCTGTAGGACTTTTTTTCTCTGATAAATCCTTGCAGAACTAATTTTATAGCTTTTTAAAAACCAGTCGATTCTAAGTGGTAAAAGTCATTAGGGAAATAGTTTATTGATTTGTGGAACAGAATGTGTTTAGTAATTAACAGCCACAAATGAGAAAAGCTTTTATTAACAATAATACAATACAATGCACAATAATACCTGGCATATCTGAACAATAGTATTGTTTCTGAACTGAAGCATAATGTTTGGAGAAAGTTTCTCTATCTTATTTTGCAAAATTAACATTTTTTTTTTAAAAAAAGGTTATATATGTTTCAGTTAAAGTAGTTCAACTATATTTAAAGATCAAGTACTACATGGGCTGCAATTAGAACTTACATTTGCAAAAACTTTGCAGACATCTAATGAATGGTTTGGTGAACACTTAATCAATATTAGCATACATATTTCCTAAGCAGAAAGAAAGAAAAGGTGTTCTGCTGTACTTATGGTACTCTTTTGGAAGCTGTGAGATTTTAGAAAAACGATGTATAATATTTCTTGGTAACAGACATGTTCTGTTGTAGCTCTTTAATTCCTGAGAATACCTTAGGCTTAACCAGTGCAAAAGAAATTCTTGTTTGGGTTGCTGTGAGTATTCCAGGTTGTATGGCCATGTTCCAGAAGCATTCTCTCCTAACATTTCACCCACATCTGTGGCAGGCATCTTCAGAGGTTGTGAGGTCTGTTGGAAACTAGACAAATGAGGTTTATATATAACATATGGCTGTATATATATGGCTGTGGAAAACTCACAGCAACCCAGTGATTCTGGCCATGAAAGCCTTCGACAACACAATTTATTATTTCATTGCCATGTCTCTTTTTGGAAATTGTTAGGGATCCAAAAAAGAGTAATGGCATGAATATAGTAGAGCTTTCTTTTGAATTTGTATTTACCCCACCACATAGTCAGTGTGCTCCTGTTAAAAAGTAAAAAAACAAAACAAAACTTGAAAGTTGTCTTTTACAATAATTTTCTGGTTAAAGAGAAGAGAAACTCCCTTAACAACAAGCCGGGATCTCATTTATCAGAACTCCTAGACTGATAAATCCTTTTTCTGTGACATAATTATTCTTTTGTTTGTGTGCTTTCCTCTCATTTGCAACTTAATCTAGCATTTCTGGGGCTTAATCAGTTTATATTTTTATGGTATCCACATTGAAAAATAGTGGTTTAAGCAATCCTTGCAAGCCATGATATTGAACCATGGCTTAATATCCTGTTCTTACGAATAACTAAAATCATACCATCTGGTTCAGATTTCACAAGAAACTATGGTTTAACCAGCAAGTACTCAAACATCACAAGGAAAGGGAATAGTCCTGTGAATGTGCTAATAAATTGTGCATTATTGTATTAAATTTGCAGTGTTTGAACAGACCCAATAAGTCCTGGATGAGGGGATTGGTATTGTAATTATTATTGTAAAATATAATACGTATCCTGAGGAACTTCCTTCCAGGCCAGCCAGTAGGAAATAACAGAAATTACTTAACATTCAAAATTGTTGAGATGGGTTACATCGTAAACAGCAAAACAGTTTTTATGCACTTGATTCTACTTCATCTGATATTGTCTGACAGATAAAATAGCAACACACTTTCCTTGACAGGCACATCTGTATTGTTAAAAATGGAAATTATTTTATCATTGTCAAAAGTGACAAACTGAAAGGAAACTTCCAGTACTATGTTTTTGTCCAAGGTGAGGAATAATTAATTAGCAGGGTGGGGATGGCTTATTGAAACATCCAAAGATTCTTCTTCTTTTTATTACTTACGCAAGAACATGAGTTAAGCTGTTCGTAAAACATGCCCAAGTGCTTTAACTCGTTTGTAAACATTTTGAGAACTGGTTAGGGTGGAACTGGTTGTATGTCTACAGACTTGCCCAGCAAATAAATGTTTCCATATGAAACAATGTAACACCTGGATGAACTTTGACAGGCCTAGATTGTATTCCCGTTCTTTTTTCCAGGATATTAGCTTCCTATTTCAAAGGAAGAATTGCTTAAATGCTTTTATTCACAAGGGAGAAAATCTCAAGTATGGGAACCATTACCTGCTATTGCTTAAAACAACAACAACAAATCATTGAGGATGCATATAATCGAACTCTATTCAAATATGGCTTTCATTTTCTGAAAAGAGAAGCAATTTTTGTTTAGTTTTTGTTCAGAAAGCCCACTTGGTAACAGAATAACATGGACCAATGTGCTTCCAGTTTTATGAATTGTCAAATTATGTTTCATGTGAGTGAAGGAAGCAAGGAACCTTAGATTCTGCAGACACTTCCCGTTAAATGGCAGTGAAGTGAAAATAGGTATAACAACTAGATTTTCCCCCCAAAAATCAGCTACTACCAAAGAGCAAAAAATATAGTAAACCTCACTCAACAGGGGGAGATTGGCAAAGGACTTGCGTATTAAGTGCTTCCATTTCTGTAAACATCTCATCCCCGACCTCTGAAAATTTTCTCCAAGATAGTGAACATATTTTTTTAAATCACAGGGTTTATTACTATGAAAGCATTGTAATAAAGACAGAGCTGCATGTTTAGTATTGTACAGTTTTTAAAAGTAGAAATGTCAGGCAGATCCCGTTTTTAGGGTCCAAAGATGATATACCGTATATTCCGGCATATAAGATGACTGGGTGTATAAGACGACCCCAACTTTTCCAGTTAAAATATAGAGTTAAGACGACTCCCATGCATAAGACTACACCCACGTATAAGACGACCCCTGACTTTTGAGAAGATTTTCTTGGGTTAAAAAGTAGTCTTATATGCCAGAATATACTGTACATCAGTGTCAGTACTAAGAACAGGGCCTTCTTGGTTTGCAGCAACTACACTTAGCTATGTATTCTATGTATAATTTTGGTACTAATTGTGATATGGAATCTTTTCTTTGAGGCTAAAGAGTTTACTTTTGTTACTTCTCTCTACTACATTTTATAGTTGGGCAATATCTTATGAGTATTGAAATCTCAAAATGACCTAGCATGATGTAGTGAATGTCGCCTGACTAAATTTGTGTTCTTCCTCAGATCCAAACATTTAACATCGAAGCACCATGCCAGACTGTAGAAGATTTAACCAGCGGAGTTGTGATGGCTCAAGTCCTTCAGAAGATGTAAGAGAACATTTTGTACATTGTTGTAAATAATTTGTCTTATTCAGATTTAATAGATAACTCCAAGAATCCAAAACGCATGAGTAAATGCTATTCTATTTTATCTTACTTATGCTTGGTACTCACTAGTACATTTCATTTCATGATAAAATGAAAATATGTTGTGTAAATGTTCTTATTATAATTTCAAATGTGTATTTGGTTATAGAAATCCACTGTCAATATCAGTGTTTCTTCACAGTGGAGACATACAATTTGGAAGGGCATTTATGTTAACACTCAATTTTGGTCAGAGGGCAAGAGTAAAATTTTAGTATTAATTGAAGTCCTTTGGATACATCACTTTAATATTAATCTGAATAACTGTGCCTAGAGGTATTTTTTTTAACAAACTTGATAGGGTAAAATTAATGCACAATGTTCCTTCTAGTGTAAGACACACAAATAAAAAAAAAGCTAGATGAAAATATGAAATCATCTAAAAATTGACACAAGAAAAAGCAGTGGAAGGAAGGAATGGGCCTCTTATCCCCTTGAGTCTAGTCAGGCAAATCATCCATAATAAAGACATGTTTTCATGTTCAGTAAATTATGCTGTCGTGGAGGAACCACAAGATTGGTATGACTTGAGTGTCTGTTTAATTGCATCTCCCTACAGCTATTCTTCCTGAATCATGTTGGTAATGACTTCCTTTATTGAAAGCAGTGTTAGACTCTCAGTGTCATGGCTCTGTCAAGGCAGTGTTGGAGAAAATGTTGTTGCTTGCGTAATGTGCATTCTTTTATAAACAGAGAGGCTCTGTTTCCTGCAGTGTTACGTCTAGCTGTTCTGAGGACATTCAGTTACTTGAAGATGGCTAAATAGCACATTCTCTAGGTTTTGTAGTGAGATTATACATTTTGATGTTGAAGATGCACATTTTGAACAATCTAACTAATGGAAATATTCATAAAGTCGTCTGCAGTAATGTCCTGTTCTTCTCATTCTGACCACTTTCTAATTCTAAGCAACTTTGCATGGAAAGAGTCTAAAATCATAAGAGAGAGTGAAACCGAAAAGACTTTGTTATGATTCTGCAACGTAATATCGGTAAAGGAGCTCTTGTCATCTCAAACTACATTGAGAGATCACTCTGAATTCCTTTGCTTTCAAGAATGACTGGTGCCTTTGTGACTTAATAATCTGTCTTCCACTGACACCATTTTGCTAAATATGCAGCTGGCATACCTAAGTGAAGGGACAGAGAAGTCATAGATAGAGGCCGACTTGTTTACTCTTTGCTTCTCCCTGAATTTCTTGGTCTCATGAATGAGGTACATTTGAATAGTACTGGAAAAAGGTAGCATAGAAAGTTCATAAATAAATAAATAAATGATGCAGTTGCAGTTAGGTTGTAGCTAAAGTAGGAAAAGAGTAAAAGGCAGCAAGGGCCAATGCAAAATAAAATGGAACAAACCTGGTTATGAAGGGAAGGTTCAGTTACCATAGATGCATCCATTCTGCATCAGTACAATGTTAGGCTCATACTTTCATTCATAAACCCACCATTTGGTAGACATATTGCATGAAAGCAATTTACATTTGTTCAAGAATGCAAAAATTACTGACACGAACCAGGAATGTGCTTTCTTCACAATATTCCACAAATAGAAATGAAGCTAGCTCATTCATTCTTTTAACTAACCAAACCAGTTTTTGAAGAAGTTTTTTTCTCTCTCTTGGTGTTCCTGACATCCCATCTGTGATCTCAACTATCCTGTTATTCACAGAACTGGGTTATACTTCACTAACTGTAACTTAGATTATGAATAGCCTTGTGCTGGTATTATATTAGGCCTTCAAAAATACATTATGACTTCAAGTTCTTATCAATTAGTGTGTGGTATATGAAATCAGAAGAAGTTCTTGGTTAATGAAAATCAAGTTAAGAACGCCGAGGATAAAATTGATCAAACTCACAGTAACTTGAATATTGGTGCTCCAGTAGTAATATCAGCCTTAAAGCATTCGGGTTAATTATTAAATCCTGGAAGTTTACTGCATGAGACAGATGAAAAAAAATCTTATCTATAAAAATCTTATCTATGGCTGAAGATCAGTATGCTCTCATAGCAGAGGAGACTGTATGTGACAGTTCTAACCTCAATGTTATAACTTTATGTAAACATGGCTACCAAATATACATTTGGATTTATTTTCTGAGGTGTAAGGATGTAGCAGGCTATATTCTAAACCAGTGGTTCCCAACCTTTTTTTGACCAGAGACCACTTGACCAGTGACCACTCTCCAACATTAGTACCAAAAGGTTACGAATCAGTTTTTGATTTGGTTTGGTTATTTGGCATGCTAATTCAGAAAATTGCATTGGGTAAGCTACATCAGCTCTAGTTTCAGATACAGAATGTATGCCATCCAGTAGTCACCATCTGCTCTCCTACAGAAAACCATATTTAACAAGCCATGGCTTGTTTTGTGAGACCAGTCGCTCTTGTTGCAACAGTGTAATAACGGTGAGGCCGCAGACCATATTTTAGTTCTTGCGGATCACTGGTGTTCCATGGACCCCAAGTTGGAAACCACTGTTCTAAACACAGGAGAAATGAAAGATTGGAGAAGTGAGTGGGGGAAGGAGGAAGTGCCAACTAAATGCTGTTGATTTATTTTAACTTTTGATTTTTCTATTAAGAATGGTTACTATATGATGTATAGAACATATTTTTATACAAGCCTTCAGAATGAACATAATAAAACCAACAGGAAAAGTAGAAACACCATAGCACGCAAAGCAAAAGTGAAACCACAAGATAAGGCAGATGAAAAAAAAATCAAAATCTTAAAAAGCCATAAAGATTGAATAAGTATTCACTGGGTACCCAAGCAAACAAGTGAGCTTTTCTGGAGAAGGTGTTCTATAGAATAGTTGCCACTGCAGAAAAGCCCTTATGCTCATAGCCATTTGCTACCACTAAATTTAAAGGGGTACATGGGAGACATCTGAGATGAAGTTGGCACAGATAGGTACTTTCTGGAGTATGCATTCCTTTGGTTAACCCAATAGGAAGCCATTTAAGACTGAAATTATCCATTTGAATTGGACCTGGAAACAGGCTGACAACTATTTCAGGTAGTTGTCAGATAATACAATGATCGTATAACCTAGGTTCTTTCTTAGAAATATGGAGTATTTATGAACCTGTGGGACCTAATAGTTATATAGATATTAAAATTAATAAATGATAATTACATATGTTGTGTTTCGGAGAAGCCTCTAGCATGGATTTATTATGTTACTTTGAAAGTAGCAACTTGTGCAATTTGAGAGTAAGCACAGCACTTTCTCTTTTAGATAATAAGAGTATACAGAATTTACTTTTGCAGATGAACCTGGTGTCCAACAAATGTCTAAACTCAGAATTTTCCAGAAATTTTGTTTCTTCATAACTAAAATGTGTCATTTTCAATGCTGCATATGTGGAAGTTCAAAGATCACTGTTTGCTACTGTATAAAAAGGATGCACACATACACAGTAGGATATTGGCAGAGGTACTGCATCATTGAAATGCGATAGGAGGTTGTAGTTATCAATCCTGTTTGTATGACGTACAAGGGTCAAGAGTATTTTTGCTAAGCAGTTATGCTTCAGGTTGAATAATTGTACATAAGATAGACAGTAACAAAATAATGGATAAATACTCTATTTGTGCATAATGTTTAAATTGATTTTCCTGTTTATTTTTCTTTCCTGGGACTGGCAAATGTGGAGATGAAACAGAATTGTCATGTCTTTTCGGCTTCTCTCAAATCCTAAGTTCTTGTCCCTTCCCTGCCATATGCAAAGCTGCTTCCATGAATCAATATTTTCTTGCTGCTTGGCAGTCCATTCTCCATCCCTCACCCCAAGAATATATTCCTTCCAAATGCGTCCAGAAATCAAGCTTCTATGTTGCTTCATTTCAATTGCTGGTAGATTTAAGTTACTTTGTGAATTGATTAACTGAATGGATGGAAGAAACACCCACCCATTCCCCATTTTTCAGACATACTTGTAGACATTTCCCACACACACACTCACACACAGTCTTTCCATACCAGAGTTGTTGTTGTGTAACTTCAAGTAATTTCTGACTTATGGCAAACAAATGATGCAGTTTTCTTGCCAATATTTACTCAGAAGGGGCTTGTCCTTGCTTCCCTCTAAGGCTGAGAGAATGGAACTATGCTAAGATTACCCAATATATTTCCATGGCTGAGCAGAGATTTTAACCCTGGCTTTCCAAATTCTTCATCTAACAGACCACTATTACTACTATAGACAATCACTTGTGGTTGAGCATGATTGTTTTCCAAGGGTAGAGTCTTGATTGTGGGTCTGTTCTGGATCCGCATAGGCTTTCACAATGAGAACATAGATTTCCAGATGGAAGGTGGTCCTGACAAGAGTTTTCTGATGCACCTTCCTCTTGGCATGTTTCTTTTGCCCACTCTTCATGCCTCCTCATACCCATAGCACTGTTGGTAACAGCTAATCTCCAATTAGAGCGCCAGGGCTTCCCAGTTCTCAGTGTTTATTCCACATTTTCAAGGTTTTTTTAAAGCTCATCTCTAGATCTCTTTTGCTGTGCACTGACATTCCGTTCTTCGTTTTTGAGCTGGGAATAAAATAACTGCTTCAGGAGATAGTGATAGGGCATTCACAGTGTGACCAGTCTACTCCATGTTGACTCTCTCTATACCAGAGAGACACCCCAAAGGCCCTGTTCACCAGACAAACCCCCCTCATTTTTTTATCACTGGGGGCAAAATAAAAGGTTAGAATTCTCAAACATCATTTGACTTGGTTTTTAAGATATCTGTTTAGTGGAAGAAAAGAAAATTTTGATTTATTTGACAGGAAAAAGGCCATCTCATTGTTATTTTTCATTTTCTTTTATCTTGGTCTTGAGAACAAATGTTTGCCTGTCAGGGAACCGAGGGCAATGTTCAGTTTTTAAAAGGAC